AGAATTCTTGTCTATCCAACGCACTTCGTATCCTTTCGTCCTCAGAGCTTCCACCTACAAAATATATTTTTTGCATTATGGAATATCTTGAACCAGTGAAAATGAGGACTAGCACTACCTGCTCAATGAAATCAAAAGTTCGTCCAGTTGGAGGTGTCAACGTTGACAAACTCAAAAGTTCCTTTAGGGACGGAGCTTATGTCTACAAGATCAAAAGGTTTTACCGCGTCACGTTCTGGAAGGTCCTGAAAGCAAAGTAATGGCATTTCAATAATCTTAACGTCTTGCAAACAGGTTACAGCATCGCTGGGAGAATCCCAAGGGGGTGGGGAGGGGATAGTGTACTTGCTCGTTGGGGAAGGGGTGAACCACTGTGTAGCTTCACGGGGATTTTCAGGTTTCACCAAAGTGTAACCTGCTGATTAACACGAACTACCAAAATGAACTAACGAAAATGCAAAATGCCCCTCCCGAGCCGAAAAACACCGAAATTACTTTGTTTTCCCTAACAGGTCTCTTTGGCCTCATACTTGGTCGTCGAGGGAGAGGGGTAAGATTTGATCGATGGAAGTCGTGTCTGAGCTTCACAGGAAATTTCCCCGCTGCAAGCGAATTTTTCGGTTAATGTCTTTTCGCGGTTTTCCCCGTTTTCCCTCTTCGTGTGATTTATGTACTCCCCTCTTCTTAGCAGCCCCGTCAAAGTCCTACATAACGGCTATTCGAGGCCCGAATCAGTAGTTGTTCAGAGGCGGCCTGACCTTCTCTCCCCGCTCAGTCGACGGCAGTTTTTCGAGAACCAACTGGATTTTTTTGGGAAAAGTCGGAAAACTGGTGGAAGTTGGAAAAGCTTGAGAGGATGAGAGACGGAAGCAAGACGGGGGAAGGGAGGTAGCACCGGAAGAAGGAACTGAGGTGGGCGTCTGACACCGCCATCTCTCCCATTTCAATGCTCTACCCGCTAGAGCTCTTCGCAAGCGATTAACCACGATATAGTGACCGTATACATACTATTTTCTCGAAACTCAGTGAGCTTTTCTTTCTCCGTCGCTTTGGAGGTTCCTGCACTTCCTTTGATATGAAGTCGCCAAGGCTGAACCTGAAACAGTGAAGTTCTCAAAAAAAAACTTTCGAGGGACAGCTCGCAGGAAATCAGCGCTGCAGCTGATACCGCCGAAATCAGTCGGGGCGGACAAGGAGGCCTGGAACGTGCCGGCGCGGTGGCGATTTGACCACTGGTTGTTTCCATCATGAGTTGGTCACCTACCGAACACTGCTGCGCGGAAGTGGCTCATTACGCCTCTCCTGATACGTCCCGGCTGAAACGACCGATATCAAGCCCATACACAAAACTCCTTGCTTCTTCTCAGCTTCTTGTCTCGCTCTGGTTTGCACCCGTCGTCTCACTCTCGACAGTATTCGAGCGCTGCTTGCCTAGTTTCTCTAGGCAGATCCACGCTTGACATGACCACGGCTTCTGTCCTCGTACACGGTCCCAGAAGGGTTCCTGAAACGGGTAGACCAGTAAAGTAGAAGGTTCTTAAAAGTAAACTATACCCCAATTCGCTGCGGATAGAAGGAGTCTCAGGCACGTATGAGTGTACTACAGCCAAACCGGTTCCTCTGCCATATGTTGGGAAGCGGGTATGAGGAATATATTAGTAGAAAACAGTGCTAGAAACGGATGATACAGTCTTGCTAGTTGCTCGCTTCAACAACCCGTTGTCAAGGGGGGGTCGCTATGCCCTTCTTACCTTCTGAGAGAGGTTGCTGCTGGTCTGTGGTTTCTCCGGTTTCATGTGCACTATGCATTACCCCCCCCGACAGCTCGATGAGCAAGGACCACGCGAGGGATGGGGTCATACGAACTCGACCAAAATCCCAACTAATGATGTGCCCTTGTTCGTGATACGATCTGGTGCCTACAAGCGCCTACTGTACGCTAAGCCTTTTTACTTTTGCGTGTAATTTTCCGACTACTTCTTGGCTATTTCTCAGCCGGCAACTGAATCGGTGAGCTTATGAAACTGGAAAGTAAAAATTTCAAAACACCAACTTCCCCGTATGTATCGACCATAGTAATCGGGTTTTTCGTGCATGATAGTGTAGCGGATTTGAGCCTTCCTGGGACGTCCCTTTAACGTTGTTCGTTCTCCTCTTGCTCCTTTGTAGTCCATGCCGCTGTGCCGCGGCCCCTTCGTCGCTGTTTCTCTTTTGGCGCTTTGATGTCAAAACACGAAAGCTAAAATTGAGCCTTCGAATCATATTGCCTTGAACATTAGAGAGAGGTAATTAAAAACAACGCAGACAGATGAAAGCTAACAGGTGTAGAGCTCAAAGTGGTTCCAATGGAGCACGACCCAAGCGAAATCGGCGCTGCTCAGGTTTGGAGGAGCATCCTGCACTCTGTTCATAATTTGCCTTATCTCCGCTTTACCATACAGGGGGGCCAAAAAAAAAGTTTGCCTCCATGACTTTCAAGGCGCTATAAGTTACACTTTATTAAATTTTTATCGGACATTTTTACTACCATATTAAAGAGCACATTAAATACTATAATGATACTCCGCCACAGCCTTCTGGAGGAGCGCCATCGAGAGATTCGCGCAAGTGATGGTACCGCGAGTTTGAGTGAGATCCGTTGAATTTCTCCGCCACTGTAGACCAC